TGGCAGGGTGATGTCTCTGCTTTTTAGTATGCAGTCTAGATTTGCCATAGCTTTCCTCCTCAAGAGCAAGCATCTTTTAATTTCTTGGCTGCAGTCCCCATCTGCAGTGATCTTGGAGCCCAGGAAAACAAAATCTGTCACTACCTCCATTTCTTCCCCATCTATTTGCCAGGAAGTGAGAGGACCAGATGCCATAATCTTAGTTTTCTTAATGTTGTGTTTCAAGCCAACTTTTGCGCTCTCCTCCTTCACCTGCATCAAGAGGCTCTTTAGTTCCTCTTCACTTTCTGCCATGAGAGTGGTATCTTCTGCATATCTGAGGTTGTTGATATTTCTCCTAGCAATCTTAATTCCAACTGGTGATTCATCTAGCCCCACCTTTCTCATGATGTGCTCTGTATATAAGTTAAATAGGCAGGGCAACAGTATACAGCCTTGCCGAACTCCTTTCTCAATTTAGAACCAGTCCGTGGTTCCGTGTCCAGTTCTCACTGTTGCTTCTTGACCCACATATAGATTTCTCAAGAGACAAATAAGATGGTCTGGGACTCCCATTTCTTTAAGAACTTGCCACAATTTGTTGTGATCCACACAATCAAAGGCTTTAGCATTGTCAATGAAGCAGAAGTAGATGTTTTTCTGGAACTCCCTAGCTTTCTCCATGATCCAGTGTATGTTGGCAATTTGATCTCTAGTTCCTCTGCCTCTTCGAAATCCTGCCTGTACTCCTGGTAGTTCTTGGTCCACATACTGCTGGAGCCTAGCTTGTAGGATTTTGAGCATAACTTTGCTAGCATGTGAAATGAGTGCAATGGTGCTGTAGTTTGAACATTCTTTGGCATTGCCCTTCTTTGGGAGGGGAATGTAAACTGACCTTTTCCAATCCTGTGGCCACTGTTGAGTTTTCCAAATTTGCTGGCATATTGAGTGTAGCACTTTTACTGCATCGTCTTTTAGGGTTTTGAATAGCTCAGCTGGAATACTGTTGCCTCCACTAGCTTTGTTGTTGCTCAGACTTCCTAAGGCCCATTTGACTTCACATGCCAGGATGTCTGGCTCGAGGTCAGTGACCACCCCATCGTGGTTATCAGGGACGTTAAGCCCTTTCTTGTATAGTTCTTCTGTGTAATCTTGCCACATCTTCTTAATCTCTTCTGCCTCTGTTAGGTCCCTGCCATTTTGGTCCTTTCTCATGCCCATCTTTGCATGAAACATTCCCTTCATATCTCCAATTTTCTTGGAGAAATCTCTGGTCCTCCCTATTCTATTGTTTTCTTCTATTTCTTTGCACTGATCATTTAAGAAGGCAGAGATCTAGCTGTTCTCTGGAACTCTGCATTCAATTGGGTGTATCCTTCCTTTTCTCCCTTGCCTTTCACTTCCCTTCTTTCCTCAGCTATTTGTAAAGCTTCCTCAGACAGCCATTTTGCTTTCTTGCATTTCTTTTTCTTTGGGATGGTTTTAGTTGCTGCCTCTTGTACAATGTTGAAAACCTCCGTCCAGAGTTCTTCAGGCACTCTGTCTATCAGATCTAATTCCTTAAATCTATTTGTCACCTCTACTGTATATTCATCAGGGATATGATTTAGGTCATACCTGAGTGGCCTAGTGCTTTTCCCTACTTTCTTCCATTTAAGCCTAAATTTTGCAACCAGAAGCTCATGATCTGAGCCACAGTCAGCTCCTGGTCTAGTTTTACTGACTGTATAGAGCTTCTCCATCTTTGGCTGCAGAGCACATAGTCAATCTGATTTCTGTGTTGACCATCTGGTGATGACCATGTGTAGAGTCGTCTCTTGGGTTGTTGGAAAAGAGTGTTTGCTATGACCATCATATTCTCTTAACAAAATTCTACCAGCCTGTGCCCTGCTTCATTTTGTACTCCAAGGCCAAACTTGCCTGTTATTCCGGTTATCTTATGGCTTCCTACTTTAGCATTCCAATCCCCCATGATGATGAGGACATCATTTTTTGGTGTTAATTCTGGAAGGTGTTGTAGGCCGTCATAGAACCGGTCAACTTCAGCCTCTTCAGCACCAGTGGTTGGGGCATAGACTTGGACTACTGTGATGTTGAATGGTTTGCCTTGGATTTGAACTGAGATCACTCTGTCATTTTGGAGATTGTATCCCAGTACTGCTTTTCCTACTCTTTTATTGACTATGAAGCTACTCCATTTCTTCTGAGAGATTCTTGCCCACAGTGGTATACCTGATGGTTATCTGAATTACATTCACCCATTCCTGTCCATTTTAGTTCACTGATGCCTAAGATGTCGATGTTCAGTCTTGTCATCTCTTGTTTGACCACGTCCAGCTTGCCTTGATTCATGGATCTTACATTCCAGGTTCCTATGGAGTAAAGATCTTTGCAGCATCGGACTCTCCTTTCACTACCAGATACTTCTGCAACTGAGTGTCCTTTCGGCTTTGACCCAGTTGCTTCACTCTTTCTGGCGCTACTAGTACTAGCCCTCTGCTCTTCCCCAGTAGCATATTGGGCACCTTCCGACCTGAAGGGCTCGTCTTCCGGCATCATATCTTTTTGCCTTTTGGTACTGTCCATGGGGTTTTCATGGCAAAGATACTGGAGTGGGTTGCCATTTCCTTCTCCAGTGGAGCACGTTTTGTCAGAGCTCTCTGCTATGACCTGTCCATCTTGGGTGGCCCTGCACGGCAGAGCTCATAGCTTCATTGAGCTAAGCAAGCCCCTTTGCCACAGCAAGGCAGTGATCCATGAAGGAGATAGGTAGATAGACAGACAGACAGACAGACAGATTTGCTTCTTGGATGGAAGCTGAGCATTGAAGGAGCCAGAATTCTGTAGCTTGCACCATGTTATGTGTCCCTTGGATGCTGCTGCTGTTGTTGTTGTTGTTGTTGTGTGCCATCACATTGTCCTATCCATGACATCCCTACTCAGAGTGGTGCAGCAATGCAGTTCTCCTTTTGTGCTGGCATTTCTTCTAGGCTTTAGCTCTACTGGGGGTGGGGGGCAGAGGGGAAACTTGAAGTCCATTCTGTGTTGAAGCTCTCAGGGGCTTGTGGAAAGGCACATCATGCATGCTGGCTGGAAAGAAAGGAACCCTGCTGGTGATCGGGCTGGGTAGCTAAACTTCCAGCCACATCCAGTGTAAGCGCAAAGCTGGTTTGCGCACCATCACAAGGTCAGAATGGGTTGCTCCAGAACGGACAGTACCAATTACACAGATTCAGAGTGCTCCTCAGTGCCGCTTCTCTGACTGGGGAGAGGTAACCAGTGGGTCCCCACGGCTCAGTCCTGGGCCCCCCTGCAGTGGTGTGAACTGGCCCACCAAGCCAGACCAAGCAGTCCTGTCCTGTGTTTGTGCCCCCAGGGCCTCGCTTGGGCAACTCCCCGGTGCCTAGCATTGTCCAGTGCTTGGCAAGAAAGGATGGGACAGATGACTTCTACCAACTCAAGGTAAGCCAGAAGTGGCAGTTTCATGCCTGGGGATTCCGGAGGCAGCGGCAGCCGCCAGCCAGCAGGATTGCAATGGTGTTGTGGATGGCAGAAGCCACAGCAGAAAAGGCAGAGAGGGCCCCTGGTCAGAGCTGGAGAGGCAGCTCTGCTTGGTCCCCAGCAGCGGTGCCCTAGCAGTGCCACTTCGGTCTGAAAAGATACGAGACAGCCCTGGAGAAGGGACCCTCCCTGTGCTGCCTTCCCACTCGCCCCCCCTCGTCCTGCTCCTCATTGCTCTTGCTATGTTCCACTTTTACATAGGATTGGGAGCAGTTTGCAGGGGAAGAAAACTTTATTTAAAGGTTCGATTTATCATCCCAAGACCTCGGTATTGGACAGTATATTTATTATTTATTTAGGAGACTTCTATGCCGCCCCATTCGCCGAAGCCTCAGGGTGGCTCACATCCATAAATAAACTTCCATAGAATAATATAAATTAACAGGATAAATTAAGAAGTCGCCCTGGCCAAAGAATACAATGAATAAATACTATTAACAATTAAAATGACATTTGAATAAAAAGGTCTTCGTCTATATAAAAGTTTTAAATAAATAAATAAGAAAGAAAAGCAGAAATAAGTTTAAAAGGATAAGCAGTAAATAGCTTTAAAGTATAGCATTAAAATAGCATTTTCTTTAAAGGTTTCCTTAAAGAACCTTTAAAGCAAGAGAACCATTTTGCTGGCATGAGCAAGAAATCCCCTGGCTCTTGTACCTTCAGTGGGTTGCTGTCATTGGCCTTAAAATTCACATGCACATGCCAGCTCCTACATTCTGCAACTGTCTTCCACAAAATTGGACTGTTAGTTGATCTAACCTCATGCTCTCTGCTGCAATTATCAATACTAGTTAGAGCGGTATTTTCTAGGACCACTAACCTGACATTGCTTTATGTGAGATTTATATTCCACTGAAACATGGTTCTGTGCAGTCTAATGTTCAAACATCAGTTGAAAATTGCAGACCATTTTTTTAAATTAAGCAGCCACATCAAAGCAAATGCACCCACCAAATGCACTTGGATATAAAGTAGCATTTACTAATCTAAAGAAACATCTACTAATCCTTTCAAATCAGAGCTCCGCGGCTTTTCCAGGTGAGTGAGGGCACTGGGAATTTTGGGAAAGTTGCTGTCAAGGTCATTACAACATGCCCATTCAGATTGGTCAGATGAAAGGAAAAATAACTTGCCTAGTACAAGAAAGAGGTGGGTTCAGAACTCCAACAGGCAGGTTCCTCTTTTGTGCCAGTCTTTTGCTCCAGGACTCATTTCACAGAAGACGAGCTGAGGAAGCTCAGAGAAAGTAGTCTGGCCAAGAAACGGAGGACGAAGTGGGTCAAAGCGCCCACTTACCCACCCGCACTCCTAAAGGCATGAGGCTTGTGGACAGGCAGAGCAGCCCTTTGTGGTCTGCCCGCCTCCTCGGTTGCTCCCTGACACCCCAGCTTACCTTCTTTGCTGGGGGGGCGGGGGCTGGGCACACTGGAGCCGTGACCCCCTTTGTTTTCCAGATGTTGCCTCAGAGACCCGTTTTGGGCCCAGTAGTTCTCTTGGGAATAAAGCCACCATGGTATTTGCACCATGACAGGCCAGTCTCCCAGTTAAAAATAAGGATAATTGTGGCCATAATTATTATCATCAGCATAATCAAAATGTAAATTACAACCAGGAGGGTGCAAGTCCAGACCTCAGCAAGGAACATGTTTGCAGCACCATGTTGAATTTGAATTTCTTGGCTTTTCTGGGAAGAAATATAGCCCCCGCCCCCCGCACCCCCCCTCCCCATTTGTTTCTTTTTGCAAAGATCCTCACCTTGGAGGACAAGAGTGACAAAGGCACAGAAACCCAAGAGGAGCGCCAGGGCAAGATGCTGCTTCACACGGAGTACTCCCTTCTCTCCCTCCTGCACAACCAGGATGGGGTGGTGCACCACCATGGCCTTTTCCAGGTATGCACGGCCATCCTTGGTTCTTCTGAGGATTTGGCCATAAAGATTGGTCTGCTGCCCACAGGCACTGCTAGCATTTGCCCATTGGGAAAGCTGCCTGCATGCTGAAAACGCTGTTCGCCAAAAGACCTTTCTGGCCAGCTGTCCACATTTTTTCTAATGATGGCTACTTCTTCCACATCTACTGCTGCAGCTGGCAGTGCCTGCCAGAGCCCCAGACCTAACTTCCATGCCATTGCAATGCTAGTTTGAACCTATTGACCAGGGATTCTGCATTGCCATTAAGATGTTTCTCAGTGTTCCTCCCCCAGTCTGTGTGGATTCAACATATGGTTGAAAAAGACACCAAAGGCGTCTCTAGCCAGTCCTGCCACAGGGGCTGCAGCTGGCTGACAGGAGACCATTGGAATGCCAGGGGGTAACTGGGCCATCTGTTCCACGCCTGTGAGCTCATCGGGCAAGGGCAGAATCGGGCCCCGGCAAATGCATGTCCGTGCCCGGTTGCCCCAGCCGTCTCGGATGACAAGCAGGAGGAAGCATGGCGATGGGGAGCGTGGTGTTGCCACCTGGTAGTCGTGCGAGCAGGACGCGCAGGGCTCAGCCGGTGGTCAGAGGCCTTCCCTCTCCTCTTTAACTGCAATCTGTCCCTTGCTCACTGCGGCCAAACAGGACCGAGCCTGTGAGCTGGTTGAAGACCTGGAATCCAGTAGGATGGTCCGAAAAATGAAGAAGCGCATCTGCCTGGTGCTGGACTGCCTCTGTGCCCACGACTTCAGTGACAAGACAGCAGACCTCATCAACCTCCAGCACTACGTCATCAAGGAGAAGCGCCTCAGCGAGCGGGAGACGGTTGTGATCTTCTATGACGTCGTGCGAGTGGTGGAGGCCTTGCACAAGGTACCGTTTCTGTGCTCTCCTTCGTGAGGGTGCGGGTGCCTGCAGCACAAATGCTGCCGTGCCTCAGGCGCACCGCCGGTCACCTTGGGGGGCGAGGTCTCCCCGTGCGCTTGCCGAGCCAGGTAGAAGCTTGCAAAGGTGTGAAACCGGCATCCATCTGCAGTGGGCACGGCATCGGCCATGGTGCTTCTGCATTTCCCAGAGAAGTGAGTGGAACTGAGGCAGCGGGACTGAGCCTTCACGTTCGTATAGGTGTTCTGTATTCCTCGAGATAACCTCGTTTGCTCTAACGGTTTGTTTGTTTGCACTCCCGTGTCTTTCCAGAAGAACATTGTGCACCGAGACTTAAAACTGGGAAACATGGTGCTGAACAAAAGGTAGGCTTGTTCTACAGTGGCTTCTTTGTCACGGGGCATTTTTTCTCTGCGGGCAGGAGGCAGCGTGGCCACAGAAAGGAGATTCTGCTCTCCAAGTCATCCAAGGAGGTTTTCATTTTCAGTCTGTGCAGCCCTGCCAGGTCACGCAGCATTAGAATCTCCTCTCGCCCTCTCCTGTCCCTCCTCGCCTCTAGGCTAGAGAAGGCACGGAGGGTCTTCCATAGGGTTTCGGGGGGGCACAGGGAGAAGCAAGCCCTGGAGGAAGTTGTGAGGCTGATGGCATGCCCGCCAGGGGCTGTGTCGCAGCCTGCTCAGTTGCAGAGCTGCCCTGGGGCAGCATTCCTAGCAGTCACGCGTGAGACCAGGCCAGCCAGTTCTGCCATCGGGAAAGAGCCCAGTTTCCAGCAGATTCCTCCTCCCTTTCTTGATCCTTCGCACTCGGGAACGCCGCTGGCATCAGTCCGGGCATATCCCAGGAACGAGCAAATCAAAGTGCTCTTGGAAATGGCTGATTACGCGGCCTGCCCCTCGTGCTCAGTGCGTTCTGCACCCAAGGTCTGTCGAGACTGGTAGCATTCGCACGGCACGGCAGTCCACCCTGTGGAAAAGCGGCACAGCGTAGGCCGTTCGTGGAGCAGTGCGTGGTGCGCCCGGCGGGCAATTGCGTTTGCCACAGGTCAGCCCCGGGGCCGGCAGCCCTTGACACGCTAAGAGCCGTTTGGGCCCGTTTCCCGCACAAAAGGAAACACGAGGAGCCGCAAAACCCTTCTGACATCTAAAATGAAGATAACACTGCATATTTCGTTTTTTACCTTTATGCTATGTATAAAAAAACTATGTGTTGCATTTATGAAATCAATGAACTGCTGCAGAGAAAACAAATTTTTATTTCTGCATGCAACAAAAACATTTTGATCTCCAAAAAAAAAAAAAGACACTGGGTTGAAGGTCACTTTCAAATAAAACACTCAATGTCTATTTGAGTCCTCCTCATATTTATGAAATAAAGAGCCGAACTTAAATTATCCACCTGCAGCAAACCAAACATGCCCTCTGCTTCTGTGTGCCCTCATCCTTTTATCACGTGGACTGGAGGGTGCAGTCAGCTGTCAACCTGAATAAAAATGGACTAATTGATACTTTCATACTGTAAGTAGAGTTTCTGCAATACAACAAATATAAATAATAGTCTGGCGAAATATTGAACAAACATCCCTCGCCCAATGTGATAATGTTGCTGGAATTTTTATAAGAATCTTCTTAAAACAAGGAAGTAGATCTGTATCTTCATTATGATTTAGCTGCAGCTCTTGTTCAGTCACTAAAAACTGTTATTTTTAATCTTACATTATAAACTAGTAGGACTCCTTTCATATATTTTGAATAGGAGAACAGCTTCCTGCAGAATCAAAGTCAGTGCTAAAGGGATGCATGCATTAAAAAGCAAACCCCATAAGTTCATCAGCAGTAAAAGCAAATGAATCTACCTACATACCATTAAACGTTCGGTTTTCTTCAGAAACTTCTTCGATTTATCCATGGTTGGCCTACCAGGGGAAAAAAACTCAGTAAATCAACAAGGGTTGCAGTGCGTCGGGGAGATATAGGTGGAGATATAGTGACTGATTAGCAGATAAACAGTCAAGTGCTGTGAATTGTGACAGGTCCCAAGCGCAGCTTTTAACATTCAGATGAAGGAGATTACACTGGGACAAAAAGAATCCTTTCAGCAGCATGAGAGCCTGCAGGAAGCTTGTTCCACTTTCCCTGCACAATGGCAGAGGAATGTAGCAATTGACTGAACCAGCTGGCCCAGCCTTCCTGAGTGGTTGCCTCATCATCACCTATTGGTATTTTGTAACTTTTGTGACCTTGGTCGCAGATCCGCGGCTGTCGCATGTTTTGAGCGATGGAGCCGCAGCAGAGGGATCCAAGAACCACGAGTGGCTCCAAAGCCGCGGGTTGCCGACCCCTGGCCTAGCCCCACCCTTTCCCGCAGGGGACTCTGTGCCCAGGGGACTCTGGCAAGACCCACCTTGCCTCCTTTCCCTTTGTCGATTGCAGGAACTTTCGCCCTTGCTGCAGCTTCCTGTCGTCCAGTAGAAGCCTTCTGGCAGTCACTCACCTGCTGCTTTTGCCATTCAGAAGGGCTGCAGAGTGAAGACCGGCAGGCAGGGCAAGCATGATAGGCGCGGCACCCCTCCCATCAAAAAGCAAAATAGTGGAGACAGACCAAAGCATGTGAAACTGGTCAATGGTTAGGGTTGAAAAAACCTGACAGGTCTCTTATTGTACCTTTTCCCGTCTAAAGTCCCTTTTTCAGTCTTGAAGCCAGTTGATAGTAAGCCAATATATATTTTTCCTTCATTTTTAAATTCTTCCAAAGCTTGATTTGTCCTTGTTAATCAGTCGTGCCTCCGGTAAGCGGCATGTGTTGCACCTCTTGTAATGTCCTCTGTTTGTGAGCACAGGCTGCAGTTTGGCCATGGGTAGATCCCTTGCTAGTGGGGCATCAATCCGCAGCGCTTCAGGGCATGCAGAAGTGACTCGAGAAAGGCAGGCGCAAGAGGTTCTGAGAGGGCTCCACGGATCTTTCCAGGCACATGAAAAACCTTGTTCTGCTTGAGTGTTGCTCCAGTCGGCCATTAACCCCACGTGCTTCCGCACTCCTGTCACAGCAGCAAGTGAAGTTTGCTGCAGGCTGCCGGGGGGACCAGGGATGTTGCCCCCACCTTTCTTCATACCATTTCATTATCAAAAGGTGCATGTCTTCCAGCTGGGGCATAGGAATGGCATGCCAGGTGGGCAGAAGGTAGATCTGGGTCTCGTGAAGGTCTGCAGTTGATTGGCAAGTGTTTCTCATTCCCCACCATTGAAAAAGAGAAGCCCAAAGTCAGGCTGCCAGAATCCTGGGTGTGCGTGAACTCAGGGCTGACTTTGGCCTGCCTGTGGAGCCCATCACAGCGTGCGTGCGGAGTGGGGTGCAAGTGAGCCCCACTCTCACATCCACCTTCCCCTCACCGCTGCCTGGTAACCTGTCCCACCTGACAAGCCCCCAGGTGCAGGATCCTGTGTGCCCGGTGCCCCAGGCCATTTGTCGTTGCCTGCCCTGAGGGAGGCACACGACTGGTTTATAAAAATATTCTTTATTGTTGTGTCCCTTGTAAGCCTCTGTAGTCAGATTGTATTCCAAGAGATGGCGTATTCCCCAGAGAGGTCCGCCTGGCGCTGCCATTATATGTTTTTTGGCGTCAGGTTAAGACCTTTTTATTTAATCAATATTTTAATAAGTTTTATTATTGTATTTTATTAATCGCAGCCAGAGTGGGTCGTCAATTTATTTATGCTGTTAGCCATCCAGAGACATTACTAATTGGACAGCATACAAATTTTATAAATATATATATATAAATATAAAAAAATGAAAGGGCATAAACAGGAATAGTGATAACAGTAATGCACCCCCACAGCGGACACAGATGCTGGGCGTTTGTGGGCAAGCGTGCAGCAGATGCAAGAGGGCCACCCCTGTATTCACGCTCTCCTCTCCTCCGGGGTGGGAGGCTCCAGGCAGCAGGCATGGCTCCCCTGGGTCCAGGTAACCCCTGGGGCAATCCTGTGAGGCAGGTCCGGCTGCGGGGCAGCAGGCGATCCTGCAGGCACCACAGCAGTTCTGGCACAAGACTGTCTGCCATGACACCGCTCTGGCCGCCTCAGTCAGAGCAGTGTGTCAACTCGGCATCCTGGAGGGCGAGGACGGTGCTGCGGTTGGTCCCCTCCCGTAGCAGCTGGGCAGCAGGTGTCCTCAGGGCTGCCTTGAGGCTCTGTGCTGGGACCCCAGGTGCCCACCGGCTCCTCCTTCTGCCCCCTCCTCTGCCAGCCGTCTCCCTGCTCCTTCCCTCCAGGACCCACCGGATCACAATCACAAACTTCTGCCTCGGGAAGCACCTGGTGAGTGAGGATGACCTGCTGAAGGACCAGCGTGGGAGCCCCGCCTACATCAGCCCAGACGTCCTCAGCGGTGAGTCGCAGCCCCCAGCTTGCAGCGGGCAGCCCCACATTCTCCCCCGGCCCGGCTCTCCCGGCTGAGAGCTCGCCCCTCGGGATGCCCACCGCCCTCGCTGCTCCCCTGCGGTGCACAGGACCCCACGGCACGCCAGGCTCCCTGCCCTCACGGCCTGCTGCAGAGGGAGCAGATCGACGCGCAGGGCGTGCCGCCCAGCAAGGTGCCCTCGGCCCTTGGGTGAGGGGGCCGCTGGCCACCCCCGCGGGGGGGAGCCCCACCTGGCAGCTGCTTGCGCCGGAGGGCCTGAGGCCTCTCAGTAGCCGAGCAGCAGGTGGTGCTGCTCCCAGAGGCAGACGGTCGATTAAACAGAGCATTTTGCACGTAAGGGGGCGCTAGTGTGCACTTTCAGGGGGCGCAAAAACCCCTCGGTGGCAACTCTGAAGAACTCGGGAGGCACTGGTCGGGCTCCCACAACACGATCAGCCCCGCCTAGAAGACGGCTCAGTGTGGTCTCCAAAGCACCCCACCCCCCATGTGTCCAGCAGAGGGCCAGGCACATCTGGGGTGCCATGCCTTTGCCTCCTCTGCCCACAGGCCACCCCTTCCACACTGCCACCGTGTGGCTGTGCCAGGGTGCAGAACGTGGGGGCACCGGTTGCGCTGGGCTGCTCCAAAGCAGCGTGGCACTTCCCGCCCCGTGGGCAGCCGAAAGGGCCGGCTGTGGCAGCAAGGCCGTCCTCCGCCCACCACCAGCCCAGCACAGGCAGGATGAAGCCTGGCAGAGAACCGCTGCACGCCAGCAACCCCCGTCAGCCGGGATCCAAGCAGCAGGCACTCAGCAGCGCATTCCCCATCCGTGCCTGGAGTGGCGGTGGCCGCTCTTGCAGGGTGGCCGGCCCCTGAGTGTGCTCTGGCGGCACAAGCCAGAGGGCACTGCTGCATGGCGTGGCACCGACAGCGTTTGCGTGCCACCTGCACCTGCCGCAGGTCTCTCGGCAGCCTCCAGAGCTGCCCTCCTCTGCGTCACAGGGAAGCCCAGCCTGGCTGGGCTGGGCTGGGCTGGGCTGGGCTTGGCCCGGCTTTCCTTTCAGCTGCGGCTGCCTGCAGCCTGCCTCCCTGCTGCCCGCCCCAGGATAGGCGGGAAAGAGCTTTCTTTCCCTCTGCAGCTGGAACTGGAGGGGGCCTGATGGGGCTGTGCAACCTTCACTGGCTTTCTACCCGGCAGGCCCAGTTCGCCGCCTGAAGCAGCGGAGGGCTTCCTCGCAGGACAAGGGCAGCCACGGGGCAGCTCAGCCACTGCTGCCACATCTCCAGGAACCTACTAATGCCACAGCATCTCCTGTGCCTGCAGGTCGTCCCTACCGTGGGAAGCCCAGTGACATGTGGGCGCTGGGCGTGGTCCTCTTCACCATGCTGTACGGACAGTTCCCCTTCTATGACAGCATCCCCCAGGAGCTCTTTCGCAAGATCAAGGCGGCCGAATACACCATCCCTGAGTGAGTGAGAGCAAGCGACCCCCCTTCCTCGCACCAGGAGACACACACGCCTGAGCCAGCACAGAGGGCCTGGCATCGTGGCCTCCAGAGGCTTTCCTCCCCTCAGTCCCTCTGTTCTCCAGCAGAGATGGGCGCGTGTCCGAAAACACGGTGTGCCTGATCCGAAAGCTGCTTGTTCTGGACCCCCAGCAACGCCTGGCCGCCTCGGAAGTGCTCGACTCCCTGAGCTCCATCATTGCCTCGTGGTAAGCATGGTGGGGGGCGCCGGGAGCGGGGATGCCTTCACTCACGGTCACCTGCCTGCTTGGCAGCGGAGCGCATGGGGGGCGCCAGGCTTCGTGCCAGGAGTGTGGCTGGCTTGTTCGCACAGCGTTTCCCACGCCTGGCGCTCCGCCATGGGTGTGGGGCTGCAGCAGCCAGCTGGGGCCTCGGGGCCCTTCTTTGCAGGGGGGCCTCCTTTTGCACGGGCTGCCTGCCTGGCCACTCGGCCTCTGCCGTGATGGGGGGCGGGGGACACATGCGCCGGTGCGCTTCTGTGCACGATGCAGGCAGGGGCCAGGGTGACCCAGGCAAAGCATCCCTGCCGTGGGACCTGAGCTGGTCGTGCGAGACCTGACACAGGCCTTGTTTTGGGCTGGAACAAAAACGCCGTTTGTCCTTTTCGGTGAACGGCTACCAGTCCCGCGGGCAGCGGCGGTGAAAAGGGCAGGTCCTGTACCCGGGATCTTTAGGATGGCGTTGAAAACAGGGCTGCAGGTGTCCTGTTCTTGCAGTTCTGGTGCAGAAAGGCAAGCAAAGCAGCCGAGGGGCAGGAGCAGCCGTGCTCCATGGGGAGGCTTGCAAGTCAGCCAGTCATGCCTTGGTGAGGCAAAGCTGGTCAGAGAAGGCTTTTCTCCCTCCAGTGTTGGCCCCAGGGGCCATCCAGTCGGTGGAACGGCAGGAAGTATTTGCACAGCACCTCACGGAAGCGCGGAATGCTGTGCTCTGGACACAGGGAGGGCCACCCCGGAGGTCCCCCTTGGCATGGGGGGAACGACTCACATGGAAGATCAGGGCGTGCTTAGCCACGGTGGCAGCCTCGTTGCCAGAGCACACGGCCAGGAGCAGTCCCCAGGCGCGCCCCAGTGGCATGGCTCGCCGTGCTTCCCCCTGCCTGCCAAACGCCGCAGCGTCTCGGCACAGCCACGGCCGAGAGGGTGGCACTGCACTGCGAGCCCGTCCGCCGAGCACCGCAGCAGACGGGCAGCCCCCGGGGGATGGCGGGGGGCAAGGGCCTGGGAGCGGCGTGCAGCCGAGCACCGAGTCCTCGGGGAGGCGGGCGATTCCGCGGGCAGTGGCCTGGGCCTGCGTGTCCTGACCCGCCCCGTCTCTCCTGCAGGCAGTCCATGTCATCCCTGAGTGGACCCTTGCAGGTGGTTCCGGATATAGATGACCAGGTGGGCAATCCGGACAACGTGCACGAGGTAGGAAGGGCTGCCTGTGGGGGACTAGCCTGCCCTGGAGGGAGGCGCGGCCGGCAGCCTGGCCACATTGTGCCGTGCGCCCGCCCGCCACCTTGTGCAACCTGGCCCTGGCCCGGGCCCTGGGGAGGATTCGGGGATGCCCCAAGCCCTGCAGCCCTCCCCGAGCAGGGCGGGAGCGCAGCCTCGGCAGTTGCCCCAGGCACTGCGTTCGAGCTCGGCTTCTGCAGCTGCAAACTTGCTCATTTATTTGGACTTCCATGCTGCCCAACACCTGGAGCTCTCCAAGAGGTTTACAACAAACCTGTCTTACGCACATGCCGGTATTTCCACTGGGCAGGACTGATTCTAGCCCAGATGGGACTAGCAGGGGCAGCCCTGGGCACGCGACTCTCCCCGTGGGGCTTTGGGCTTCTCCTGCCAGGTGGTTTGGCCTGGAGGTTCGGTTCCAGCTCGAGTTCGCGGCTGATGGGAAGGAAGGAAGGAATGGTGGGTGGGGAGAGCTGCCCGGCAGCTGTAGGAAGCGTGAACCTCTCGTGCAGGAGGCATGTGAAGCGGGCGCCTGTTTTAAAGTGGAGCCCATGGTTAATGACGTTCCCTTCACCCCAGAGCAGTGGGGTGTTCCCAGCAGCCTGCGGCTTTCCTGCCAGGGCGTGGCTTCGGGGGCCCCTCGCCTCCCCCACCAGCAGCAGGCATCCCCACTGCGGTCCTCTGTGTCTCCCCGCCTTCCCTGAGCCTCTGCTGCCCAGCCCACCGCCCGTGTGCCTGTTCCCTTCGGCAGCTGGAGCACCTGGGGACTCTCACAGCTCTGGGGCGGCTGGCCTGGCCTGCTCAGGCACGAGCGGCGCAGAGGCAGGGCTGGAGGAGCCTTGCGCTGTGCCTGCGCCTCTGGGTGGTTCCTGGGCTCTGTAGGGGCTGCTCTGGCCTCTCAACAGGTGGCCCAGTTGGGGGGCAGTCGGGCTCCTCTGTTGCGGAGGCGCTGCGTCCCCTTCGCGGGTGCTGCCCAGCTTCCAGCCTGCCACTCCTCATGAGGCAGGGCTCCTCGGGGACTGTGTGGCATGCTCGTGGGGCGCTGGCTCATCGGTGCAGCGAGCGAGCGAGCATGCCGGACTCGGCAGCGCCTGCAGGCAGCACACTGGCCTGACTGGCCGTGAGCGCAGCCGCTCTCGGGGCCTCTCCTTGCCAGCTCCAGCAGGCTCTGTCCTCCCCGCAGGCAAAGGTGACCGAGGAGTGTTCCCAGTATGAGTTTGAGAACTACATGAGACAACAGCTGCTGCTTGCCGAAGAGAAGAACACTCTGCACGATGCCAGGAGCTTTCTCCAGAAGCGGCAGTTTGGGAACATCCCCCCCGTGCGGCGCCTCGGCCGTGACGCTCAGCCCATGAACCCCCTTGACGCGGCCATCCTTGCACAGCGCTACCTTCGGAAGTAGCTCCTGGAGAGCGCGAGAGGCGCCTCGGCCCGCCCGGCCCGGCCTGGCCCGGCCCGGGGTCCCCACACATGTAGCAGTCTTCCCCACGCAGCGCGCACCGATGGGTCTCGCCCGCTGGGGTTCGGTTGCCCCGAGAGGGTTGGCGGGAGACAGTGGTCTGGGGAAAGGGCTGGTGGATTTGAACTCAACCTTGACAGCTGATCTACTTTTAATCATGACTCCGAAATCTACCTCTGTCTTTTTTTAACCACACTGTTCTCTGGACTGAAGCAAGGAGCGGTTTTGGCAAAGGTGCCCCAGCAGGCTTCTCTTCTGACGCAGACGTACGTTGAACTGCAGAGACCACGTGGACTGCGTTTCGCGCCATATGGTTTGAATAAGCTGAACCATTCTCTTCCCTGCTCCCCACCCACCTCCCTGGGCCTCATGAAAGTAGTTTTTAAACTCTTTCCCACTCAGCCCTCCTCTGTTTGTTTTCTTTTTAATTTAATACCTGGTTTGAGTATGCTTCCCCCGAAGGTTGGCCGCAGACCCTCCTGGGTGACCACAGACTGAGCTGGCTTTCGATGAGCTTGTTGCTTGTACCTCCTAGCAAGGCAGAGCATTTCATCCAGGGGTCGTTCCAAATGTAGCTTTTCTGGAGGCCTAGCCTGCCTTTTCCAGTCCCTTAATTATTTTGGATTTCCTGGGAGTTCTGTTTGTTTTTGTTAGGGTTTTTTTAAAGGTAGCTTACATGATGTTGCATTAATTCTGTTGATGCCTCTCACCTCACTCCTCACAGTGGTACAGCTGAAGGGACAAATCTATGATAATGTGAAAGGGTTTTCCTTCCCTTCCATTCTGATCAGCACCTTCTCCAGAAATACTCCCACCAGCCTTTCTCGGGTTCGGAAAGGCCTGCTGGTCTCCCTACCCCGCTCTCTTTGCTTTGTCTTGCCATTGTCGCCTTGTCACAGTGCTGACCCGCTGCAAAGATCCGGCCCGGGACTTCCCCGGAAGACGTGCCACCACCCCGCAGGTCAGGCCAGGCCAGGCCAGGCCGGGACAGGGCAGGATTGTTTCTGAGCCACGTTTTGGAACTGGATGCCTCTCTTGCCAGATAAGCCATTCTCAAGCCATCTTTCCTGGGGTGTGCTGTCTGCCGCCCCCCCCCCCCCCCCCCGCCACAACTTTGCAGAAGTTTCCCAAACCTTGTCTTGTCTCTTGGCCACAGAGTCCGGTAGCTGAAGTGGCCCTGTGGCATCAGATGAGCAGCACGACAGATGGGTGGCTCCTCCAGGGCCCCCCATGCAGGAGACGCTGGCGTGCGGGGTGCGGGGTGCAGTGACCCTCCCCACCGGCACCAGCAAACCGCAGGCTTCCCACCTGCAGCCGTTTCCCTGAAAGGAGCACAAGCGCTACTCTCAGCACCCCGAGGCAGAGGTGCTTTGCTGCAGGAGGAGTCTGGGGGGCCAGCAGCACATGAGAACGGTTGCTTTGAAGACACACCTGCAGGCCCCCCACAGGTCCCAAGCCATCCAGCAGAATCTGCCCCCGCCCCCCGTGGATCAGGCGTGGGGTAGAAGTGGCTGTGGCAGGCCCTGCCCCCTTGGAAACGCTGGGGAGGGGCGCGGAGGGGGAGCTTGCCCTTCAGCGGGCCGCGGCACAATACCGAAGGCTGTCCTCGGGGCAGGCCCCAGTGGTGTTGCTTACGAAGGAGCTGCCCACGCTGCCCCAGCTCAGCCCTTGGGCAGATCAGGATCCGGGCTGGCGCTGGAGGCCAGCAGGAGCCCTTGTCAGCCGGAGGGGGGCGCTGTGGCCTTTCCTCCCAGTGAGCAGCCCTCCTGGGCGGCACAGCTGCAGGTGAGCCGGCAGGCAGGTGCCCCTTTCTCAGGGCTTGGCCGCATGGTGCTTTTAAGGGCTGTCACTTGTGGCACTGCAGCGGCCCGTAAAGCTCACGGGAAGCATCCCTCAGGCAGGGAGGTACATATTCCCCCCGCCAAAACTAAGTTGCACTGGTGCACCAGTCCAGGCTGGGGTGTTCTCGGGACCATCCTGGGGCTGAGCCCAGCCAGCAGGAAGCACCGGAGGATGAGAAGGGGATCGCACGGCACGGGCTGGGCTGCACCGCCACTTGGTTCCTTCACAGGAGGGCTCCTTCCCTACGTGGATGAGGAGCCATTCAAATAGCCGCTGGCTGCTGTGGACCCCTCCAGAAACGGCGGCGAGGGCAGACTCCTCCTTTCGCTGTTTCCAGCCCCTATTTAACTCTTCCCCGGCTGTATGCCTGCATCACACCTTACTTGTCCTGGAAAAAGAGCAATACTCCCCTGACTGTAGTGTGTTACATCACAATAGAAGCCAAACTGGAAGAGGAGGAGGTGGAGGAGGACGACGACAACACTTGTGTGTGGGGAGGAACTTGGCAATCGCTGCTGGTTTTGTTTTGGTAGATTACAGATTGGGCGAGACACCAGAGACAAAGATCCTATTGTAGAAAAAATGCAAAGAGAATTTGTATAGAGACCTATTTTTGTATTACACCTAACTATTCCTGCATGTCAGCAATAAAATTTGATAATGTAGAACCAAATCTGTGTGTTAGGAAGTACAGGTGTCTTCTTTGAGAGAATTTTCACTTCTTTACTCCTTTTGGTGAAATCTTCTAGCCCTCATTCCTGTGAAGCTGTGCTCCAGTGCAGGTAGGAGATCCTGTCGAAATTTTAGAAGCCTGATGGAGGCAGAGGACAGGAGCCAGCGGCAGTCTGCTCCAGGCATCCCTCCAGCCCTGGGATTCCTGATTCACTGGTGCATCCCATGATGCTCACCCACCTGCTCATGCCCATGCGCTTTCCGCTGTTAAATCCGTTTCTTCAGAAAGGTTCCGTTGCAACTTATTTACGCGCTGCCATTTCCCCTCAGTCTCTCTCAATGGGTACTGAACTTGCAGTGCTGCTCAGGGCCCTGAGGGAGGGACTTGGTGATCAGCAGGAAGAGGAACTGTCCCGGCAGGGCTTCAGCAAAGCATCAGCAACTTGGAAGAGACCCTTCCACTGCTTTGCTGCCTCCCGTGCCACAGATTTGCTCTCTCACTTGCCCCCAGAGTGGCCTCCACCTCCCCTGTCCTTTGGAGAGGAAAATCCATCATTTCCTCGAGCCTGAACATGCATTTCTTTTAGAAGTAAATCTCATTATTTTCAGTGGCCATACCCAGAAGGAAGCCAAGTTCATTTCAGTGGAACCGACTCATGGCAAGTCTGCAGAGGAGAGGGCTGTGCTCATGCTCTGGGAATTGCCCTTGGGTGGAGGAGAGTGGGGTGCAGATTCTGTTGGCTGCGCCCCATGGGAGGGCAGCAGCAAATAGCCCGCCCCCATCTCCCCTACCCCTCCCTGTGTATTTTCATGAGGGGGCAGAAGGAGAATCTCTCTACCCCTCTGAAAAGGATTAATGTGTATGCTGCTCCACTAGCCATAGGCTCTCTGGGGGGCTTACATCATGACAAAACCCCTAGACATGCATGTTCCTGCTCGAACCTACCCCATAGCTGATCAAGTTAAAAACCAAACAAAAGCAAATGACCCTTGAAAGGCATGCAAGTGGCTCCTTTTCGACTCCTCCTGCGGTTGCATTTGTGTGTGGCACAAGATCATACATTAATCAGCATGTGCCCTAAAAGACGCAGATGAGATTAAGAAGAGATGACAAGATTACATGGAAGAACTATACAAGAAAGAGCTTAACGTCCCTGATAACCACGATGGGGTGGTCACTGACCTCGAGCCAGACATCCGGGCATGTGAAGTCAAATGGGCCTTAGGAAGTCTGAGCAACCACAAAACTAGTGGAGGTGACAGTATTCCAGCTGAGCTATTCAAAATCCTAAAAGACAATGCAGTTAAAGTGCTACACTCAATACGCCAGCAAACTTGGAAAACTCAACAGTGGCCACAGGATTGGAAAAGGTCAGTTTACATTCCGATCCCAAAGAAGGGCAATGCCAAAGAATGCTCAAACTACCTCACCATTGCACTCATTTCACATGCTAGCAAAGTTATGCTCAAAACCCTACAAGCTAGGCTCCAGCAGTATGTGGACCGAGAACTACCAGAAGTACAGCAGGATTTCGAAGAGGCAGAGGGACTAGAGATCAAATTGCCAACAT